AAGAAATTGGCTTCATTCTTCCTGGCAGTACCTTTTCAGGCTTGCCTTGGAGAGCGTGGTTTCCTTTGAGTGCCCTCCTACTCAGATTGCAGCACATTTTTGAGTTCAGCAGTGTCAATTTGGCTTTAGGTCTCTCCCCTTCACCCTTATCCTTCTTCCTTAGGTGACAAGGCTGAGGAGGAATCCTGCTCACACTGAAATCAGAATCTTGGTCTGAAGCCTTTTGATGTTAATCATGTTTTAAGTCAATTTTGAGCCTTCTGTGAAGGAGGATTGTGGGATCAGGGCTTGTCAGTGGTCAGACTCAATCTCCTTCGTGGCAGAGCAGGGCCTGCTGTTAGGAAGGCAGTGCTTGTTTTAAATGTCCCACGTGGCTGGGTCCAGGTGTACTCAGACGGTTCAGGCTTCACAATTCCCCTGCATCACTCGTGGCCTCTTCTCCTAAACATTCTGTGGGTGGCAGCTGCTGTTTAAGAACCACCTCACACAGAAATCAAGTCCAAGCACACTTGCATTTGTAGTTCAAATCCCTTCTTAGCCCAGCTGGGAGTGAGGCCGTCAGGGCAGCTCCGCTCATGGCTGACAGGACTCGTCCTCCATTCCCGCCTCCTCCGTAACTCCAAGGTCTGAATACATTTCTGCCTGTCTTAAATTATTCTCCTTGTCCTTTCAGTTGGTCAGTCCAAACTCTGAGAGTAGAGGTGAACTTCAGTGGTTGTGTCAAAGCTGACTCTGCATGGAGTAGAGAGTAGAGAGTTGGTTGTAAGTGGCAGCCTGGTTTTGTCTTTAGGCTTTCTCAGACGTAGTGGTAGCAGACGTGGTAGCGCGTGTTTCGGTGAGACTTGGAGCTTTCCTGCCCCTCTCCCACTGGATCCCAGCCTGGGGAGAATGGTTTGCACACAAAGGGCCTGATGGGCCAGCTCAGCTGGGAATGTTGGAGCAGCTCCTGCCCATCCTGCTCTGCCAAGCCCGGGTCTGGCGTTCCCAGGAGAGGCAGGTTTTGTGTCAGTCACAAAAATGCCCTGGCAGCAACGCAAGCTCTTTGGTAAGGTGGCTTTTTTTCTTCTTTTAAACAGGATTTTAGCACCAGGATAGTAATGGAAACCACTTTAGGTTTGTTTATGGACCACAAAGATTATGGAGGAACAAATTTTGCAATTTTCTTTCCTAAGTCTAAAAAATCATGGATCTGCTGTATGTAGTTAACTTGCAGTTTGTTTGAAGGGGTCCCATCAGTGAAGTGGAAACAGATTTTTTTAACTGACTGCTTTTAGTTAAATCTAAAATTGCTGTCTTTGTCAAGTTAATCTGTTCCCTGCCTCGCTCTTTGTAAGCATGTTAAACAATCCACATTAAATGCCATAAATATGAAATACGAGGAAATGGTACAATCGTAAGCTAAAGAGAACTTAAACCAAAAGGAGGTTTTGCTGTCCTTATTAGAATGTTCTAAAATGTCAAGGCAGTTGCTTGTGTTTAACTGTGAACAAATAAAATGTATTGTTTTGCACTACTCTGTGTTAAATTCCCTGCCAGACCTTTTTGGGACCAAACACATGGAAGGGATTTCAGTGTCCAAACATTTTCCCAGGTGGGACAGTCCAGAGCAGGTCAGTGCTGCTGCCCCTTTGCACAGGATTCACCATTGGAAGCTCATTTTTCTGCATGGAGCCAAAGCCTTTTTTTTTTTCTTCTGTGACAAACAAACTCATCAACAATGTGCCAGCATAATCCATAAATGAACTGCAAACAGTTCAGTGCTGCAGATCTGCTGGTGAGCTTCTGCATGGCCTTGCTCCTGCAGGCCAGGACTGCAGAGTGATTAGAGAAATTAATAGCTGGAAATGTCAGAGCCTTGTTTGCAAAGCTGGGGCTGCTGTCAGGAGTTGGCTCTGTCTGTGCTTTTCCCTTCCCTACAGTGCATACAGGACACTTCCTCAGACCACGAGGAATTTTGGGGCCACTTTATTCTAGTGAGGTAAGGTTGTTCTCTAGTTGTGCTTTTTTCCCAGACTGGCACTTTCTCACTGGTTCTGGTCTTTCATTGGTTTTTATTTGTTTGGTTGTTTTTGTTGGTTTATTTTTTCTCTTCTTGAAATAAATTAATATTTAAAAGATTGCTCAAAGCAGTTTAGTAATCCATACACAAGCCTCAACATTCCAATTAAGGATTAAGTATAATTCTTAAATATGAGCAACACAGGCAAAGGTCTGAGTTGTGCAAGTGGCACATTGTGAACATGCTTTGGCCAAGTAATGTTTATGGAGAATTTTATATAGAAAATACCATAAACATCAGTGACACAGAGAGTTGTTTGGACCTCTGCACTGGGATTAGTTCTGTAGCATGGGGTAGTAAAATGAAAACTAAGCACAAAGTGAATTTAACACAGAATGGGTTCAAAATAAGGCATCCCTTAAGCTGAACTTGCCAGTGTAAAAAAATCATGACATAAAAATTACCCACAGAAGTGTATTACTGGGGTACAAAAAGAGAAAAATTAAGTACCTTCCTTACTCATTAATGCCAAGCAGTACATTTGGTAGTTCATAACAGTTGATAATCACACAGGAGACATTAGGGAAGGAAATACTTCAAATTCAGGAAATGCAAATATCTTTGCTGATTGATCCTGATTTGTTGGAACTACTTAGCTGCTGGCACAATGGTGGATTTTAAAAGTGGTTACAAAGTAGGAAATCACAGCAGTTGAGTTGCTTCATCCGTTCATACTGAGGAGCTCTGCAAATGAAGCCTGGTTTGCATTCCCCATGGGCTTTGCTTTCCAGACAAGACTGTTCAAATACTTGACTTATGGTCCTCATGATTTTGGTGTCTGTGGGCTTTACTTGGCTGAACCTTTTTTTTCTGAAAGTCTTTTCACTCCAGTTCTGGGCTGGCTGATCTCTCCTGCCTGCCAGACACTATTCCTGGTTTCTGTGAAGCTGCCTCTGCTCCTTGTGCTCGATGCTCAGCTGACTGAAAGCTCAAACTGCTGCTGCAGCACCACCAGGGGAATTGAGGACTCCCAGCAAAGCCTCCCCTGCCTCGGGGTGTTGATGATGTGGGGAACAGGCTGGTGGTGACAGGGAACAGCCGCTGGCTCTTCTGAAATTACAGCTCTGGGGATGGCAGTGGGGGCAGCGGCCCCAGAGCTGCCCTGGGGTGTCCCAGGGGTTGGATACCAGGGTTCAAAAGCCCTGTGGATGCAGGACTGGGGACAGCAGGGTTGTTGGAGCTGTTCAAAGGTTGCTGCTGAGAGGTTTGGGCACCGCTCCGAGGCGGCCGCTAGAGGCCCTGCCAAGCCCATCCCAGCTCTGGGCTGCTGAGTTTGTTCTCCCTGGAACGGACCCTTCTGCTTCCCCCAGAGCCACCACAGCTCCTGACCCTTCATCATCCTCACTCCTGGGGCTCTGAGCTCTGGCCTCTCGCTGTGGGAGAGGCTGGAACACATTGAACATACAGAATGGATTAGCACTGAATAAATGGTTTCTCACAGAATGGTTTGGGTTGGAAGGGACCTCTAAAGCTCATCCAGTCCAACCCCCCCTTCCACTCTCCACCTTTGACTACATCAGGTTCCTCAGTTTGATAAAAGCCTGACTTGACCCTTAGCTGGATCAAGGGGAGCACAGAGATAATTCATACAGATGCCAGGATTCCGTTGATATCATCTCTTACCAGCCCATGTGTCTATTTCAGCCTTTGAACAAAAAAAGCAGCATTTATTTTCTGGACTAAGTGACAGATCTGTAGGAAAGTCAGGCTGGTGCCCTGCCTGGTTTCTCAGTGTGTATCTTGCAATTTTATGCTCACTGAGGCTAAAGTAAAACTTTATTGCACTTTTGTGTTTGGCATTTACATCCTGTTTATGTAAATTCTTCAAACAGCTTGATTTGTAGTAGAGGAAAACAATTCTTGCTGTATCTTTTTGTCTTTTGAAGTGTCCATCCACTCTGGAAGAGGAGAACTTGTATGGAAATTAAGTAATTTGTCTGGATGTTTTTCTGAGACTTAACTTTGCAGTCTTCCAACAGATGCTGGTCTTGTCATTATCAAACCTCAGACTGCAAGTTTTACGCACTCATTTTTCTGCTTGGATCTTAAAATTTTGGCTGCCTGACACTGACTGAAAGTATAGGGCTAGGCTAGAAATTATTACTAAGATTTAGGAATTGTTTCTTGCATGTATGAATCCTATTATTGAAATTTGGGAACTTTTTTGTGTGTATCATCTTGGTCAAGTGCAAAATGACAACTGGAATTTGGAGCAGCAGTGGTGGAGTGGCTTTGGTAGGACTGTTCTGACAAACCATTTGTGCTGTGCTCATCCCTGGAACCTGAAAGTGAGCTACAAACTGGAGAATAATTTTGGTCTCCTCACAGCTTGTGTGTTCAAATTTAAACCATAGGGCAAAGCCAAGAAGGTTGGAAACAAGATCTGGGAATAGCATCTCTTGTGTCCCCAACACTTGTCATCATTCAGTCTTAGCAGCTTGTGCTGAAAACCTTTCCAAGACAGCAACTGTGTCACTGGACACTTGTCTGCACCATGGAACACAACAGAGCAGCTGCCACAACTTGGATTTTTCAGCCTGAAGCTGCCTCTGCCCCAGGGATCTGAACTGAAGCCAGAGAGGGTGACAGTGACATTCCACTGGCTGTGGCCCCAGTAGTGCTCAGGAGTTGCTCTGTGACCCTCTGTGACCATCTTGAGTTCACCAAGGTTCAGTTCAGTTGGATCAAATCTCCCTAAAAATAGGGCTCTACTCCAGACTGGGTGGGTGCATTGCAGTGCAAGTGGATAGGGGAAAGGAAAAGAGTGCAAAACAAGGTGGGGTTATGTGAGGAATAAAAATGCTCCTGGAAATACTTTCCATTTCATCCGAGCTGTCATTCCTTCCTATGCCCCCTCCTCTGTATTAATTCTTCCTTCTGTTTTCAGCTGCTTGTTGCCAAAAACTGATGATTTTCAGGCAAAAGCTTTCTCACAGCAAACTGAGCCTGGTATGCAAGGGGAAATTGTTTATTCAGGAGTGTCTTCCAGCAGGAGCAAATTTGGAGGGGACAAGAGCATTCAGACACAGGGAGGACACTTATTTAGAAAAGGCTGTAGGGTCTGAGATGTGCTGACCTCATGTTCTGTATTTTGAGCCCCAGGGCCATGGTGGGCCTGTCCACATCTGGCCTGATGTAATGCCAACCTTGCCTTGGAGCAGGGAAAGCACAGGCAGCTCAGTCTGCAATCTGAACAGGGACCATCTGAGCATGATGCTGCCACCACAGTCCCATGGATCACATGGACTGGAAATGGCTTTGGTTTTGTAGGGATCTGAGGAGCACAGGGGTGTTTTGTGGGTGTTTTGTTTGGCTGTTGTCAGTACACACAAACTAAGGGCAAAATCAAATCTCTCCTTTACATCTCCAGCTCTGACAGGACAGGAGTCAGGAGGTGTAAGGGGAGATGTTCTGTGGAGTGAGGAGCTGCAGCAGAGCACAGCTGAAGAACACTGGACTCTGTAGGGGAAACCTCCTTAGTGTGCTGTAAACAGGGATTCTGTGGTCCAGATAACCAAATTATTTCTCTGGGGCTGAGGGAGCTTTAGAGACAAGTCTAAATGTCAAAGATGTGTCTGAATCTGTAATGCCAGGCCTTTGCTGCTCTGCATCCCATCCTTCACACAGGCAGCTTCTTCACCCCATGGCTGTGGCAGGGAGGGGATGCTCCTCAGGAATGGGGCTCAGAAAATGTAAAATCCTGTTTCAAATGATTGTCAAAGATTCATGTGTGAGATATGAGAACCTGATGAGTTCCCTGCTCCCAGTGCTGGCCCCAGGGAGCAGCTGGAGCTGCAGCTGCTTCTGTGGAGATGTGAGGAGCAGAGTGCAAATATCAGCAAGGGAGAGGCAATGCTTGTGTCCCGGGCTGGCTGCAGGGCAGCTCTTCAGAAAAAGGACTCAGGATGGATCTCAAGTGTTCATTGCACTGTATTAGATCAGCTAGGTGCTTAAAGGTGGTGAGCAGATGATGCAGGAGCTCTGATCCTTTAATAGGGGTGTTTGCCTGGTGGCCTCCAGGGAGCTTTCTTTTTTTGCGGACGTTGATTTGCAGACAGGAATTTCTTGAAATCTTTGTCCTGCAATTTTACAGTATTTTCATTACTATTGGAGGTCAGAGCTTCAGGTGCTGTTTGGGAAGTGGGTGTCTCCTCCTTGCACCTGGCACATCCAGGACTCACAATATAGAGGACTTTCAGGTTGGAGTGTGTGACCCAGTCCCTCATGCTGTCCAGGACGATGGGCAGCAAGCTCACCACCCCTCCATAGCGATGCTGCGCCTCCTCCAGGCTCAGGTGGTTCACAACACCGTGGGGGTACCTGTGGGACACAGGGAAACAATTGGCACAGGAGTCCCAGCCCTGGGAGCCCCAGGGAGAGCAGCAGTGCACAGGCAGCCATTCCCCAAAAGCACGGAGAGAGCTGGACATGGATTGAGGAGTCCTGCCAAAAACCACCCTGGCACAAGTCTGGAGTCCTGGACAGGACACACAGACACTGCCCTGCAGAAATTGGCTCAGTGCAGAGGAGCAGCAGCAGCAGGAAGGAGCAGGAACCTGCCTGAGCACTGCAGGGGCCTCAGGGCACCCCCTGCCCGGCCATGGTCCAGAGAGAGGATGGACAAACAGAGCAGCACTCTTTATGTGCAAGGACACTGGCAGTGTTTGCCAGGAGCTGGCACAGGCAGCTGGGCAGCACCTTGTACCCTCCCTCCCAGGAAGGGACTGGGACAGAAGCCAGGGAGGAATGTGCAGTGCCAGCCCCCAGGAGCAACAGCAAAGGCCAGGGGCTGGGCTGGGCTGGGCAGAGGTGGGTTAAGCTGAGCTGAGCTGGGCTGGGCTGGGCTGGGCAGGGGTGGGTTAAACTGAGCTGGGCTGGGCAGAGGTGGGTTAAGCTGAGCTGAGCTGAGCTGGGCTGGACCGGGCTGGGCAGAGGTGGGTTAAGCTGAGCTCGGCTGGGCCGGGCTGGGGTGGCACCCACGTGGCTCGAAGGGCAGTGAGGTCGTTGCTGTCGTTCAGGAGCAATTTGCACTTCTCCAAAAGGCCGTTGGTGACGCTGTCCCCAGCGTGCACCGTCTCCATCTTCTGGCTCAGGCAGCGCAGCTCGTTGCACAGGGACACGAACATGTTGAGGATGCGCCTATCTGTGGCGTTGTAGCAATGGTTGTCCTTGTAGCACTGCACCTGCACAGGAGGAAAATGCGCTTTTGAAAACGGCAGAATGGGATGGAATCACTCAGTGCAATATCTGCCACAATCCTCTTCAAGGCAATGGGCAAAGCCCTTCTGTTGGGGAGAGGCAGCCCTTGGAAAGGACAACCAGCTCATTGTGTGCCCTAATCCTGACAGCAGCCTGGCTTTCACTATGCCTTTGGCATCCATCTGGGTTTTGGGCTTGAGTTCTGCTGTCTCAAATCCACAATTCTGATTTGATTTAGATTTCTCTTCTTCCTTGTCTCCAGGTGGTCTAAGTTGTACTTTTCAGTACAGCATGCTATAAAAATTCCCAGACAATTCACTTAGCAGCCCAGCAAAGCCCTTGCCCACGTGGGACTCTCAGCCCTCAATCCATCATCCTCCCTGTGTAACACAGCCATTATTTTTAATAAGCACTATAGAAAGATACAGCAGCACCAATACCAGGGGGAAGAGCCAGGCATGCTGCTTCCCACAGGCTGAGGATTACAGATTCCATGTGAGCCTGGGGAAGCAGCCTTGCTCTGATTGTTTTCCTGCAGCCTGTGTTTCTGGCTGCTCAGCAGTGCTCAGCTAAAGCACAAAGTGCTGCTCAGCCTTGAGATGCCTGCTGAGATCACAGGTGGGGTGATTCTCTCCCCACCCCTCCAGTCACACACAAACCTTCCTGGGCACTTTTTGTCCATCTCCCCTCCAGGAAAAACATTTCTCCAGCCCTGTGCTGTGTCTGTGGCCATGCAGGGAGCTGTTTGTGCTGAGGGGTTTGTACCTGGACAATGGATGACACAGGTCTCATCATGTCATGGGCTTCCTCCCGCGTGCGCTCCAGGGCTTTGATGAAGGTGAACTGCTGCTGCTGGAACAGCTTGTACTTCTCCTCGATCTTCCTCAGGGTCTCCACCACCTCATTCATGGTTGCTTATTGCTGGATCTGGATGGAAAAGGAGAGAAAGGAAGCTGCATTTTAAAAATGATGCAATTTTTTTGTCTCACCTGAGCTGGAGTTGTGCAGGTGTGGTGGTTCCCAGGAGGAGGGAAGAGATGAGAATCTTGACTCCATGTTTCAGAAGGCTGATTTATTATTTTATGATATATATTAAAAGAAAATGATATATTAAAACTCTACTGAAAGAATAGAAGGATTCCATCAGAAGGCTATCAAGGAATAGAAAGAAATGGAATAATAATAAAATCTTGTGACTCTCAGAGTCTGAGCCAGCTGGCTGTGATTGCCCATTAATTAAAAACAACCACATGACACCAATCACAGATCCACCTGTTGCATTCCACAGCACCAGATAATCAATGTTTACATTTCATTTCTGAGGCCTCTCAGCTTCTCAGGAGAAAAGATCCTGGCAAAAGGATTTTTTTATAAAATATGTCCGTGACAGTGTAGGCTAATGGAAAACTTATAAATAACTGTGTAATCATTGGCTTTTGCAAATTATTTTGATATAACATAGTTTGTTATCACTGCTTTTATTGTTGTATAATGTGTCAGCCTTTTATGGTTAATACCCCAATCCCTGAGTAGATTATATATTTTAGTGTGATAAATATATTATAGTTTAGGCACTCACAAAATATTCAAACAGAAAGGTTGTGCTGTACATTATAACATTAACTGTTGCAGAAGTAGTTAACATTTTTATTTTTGTAACTATCTGACAATGGTGAGAATGAGTCAGATAATTTTGTGACATTGCTAATGCTGATTTCATGTACTAGTGGAGTATCTTATCTGTATGATAACATTGAAAAGAACCAGGTAAATAAATATAGAAAGTAAGAATGCAAGGAGGATTTTGCAACTGATTTGACCAAGGATTTTACCTTCAGCTGGCACTAACTGCCAAACCACAGAACACGGACCCTTGTGAGGAAATAAAATACATCAGT